CATGTTTTCTGGCCATTTAGGCCAATAGATTTCGAATTCGATGTCGTTTGTGTCATTCGAGGTCATTTTCAGTTGAATTTAGCTAGGTCAGGTCACTTTTAGGTCAAAAAGGTCAAATGTTGAAGCTAAATTTTTCAACAAACAGGTGCCTATTGGATGCAGTTTGAGCTCAGGAACACGATGGTGCTATTTATATTGGTGTACGATGTCAAATACGTACTGAAAAATTAATTTTAAAATATTAACTAATTTTTTTTGCAATAATGCGTATAACTCGGCCATTTTTGAAGATATTTAGCTAAGACCTGCACGCGCTGTGGCCTGGTGTGGTGACGCGCTGTGGCCTGTTTTGGTGACGCGCTGTGGCCTGGTACGGTGACGCGCTGTGGCCCGGTGTGGTGACGCGCTGTGGCTGGTGTGGTGACGCGCTGTGGCCTGTTTTGGTGACGCGCTGTGGCCTGTTTTCAGGTGCACAACATCACGGGAGTCGAGTACCTGTACAGCATCATGGACATGAACCAGCTGGAGATCCCGGCCTTCATCACCGAGCACGACATGACGGTACGTAACGGCCGTACGTAACACCGGTACACGGCTGTAAGTGGCTATAGACAGGGTGTCCCAGAATTGACCGAACATTTATTTCCTGGCTAAAAGTACGATTGCGCTCGATTCTAATTAGATACGAGCATTATACTTCTATTAGACATACCTTAGCTATCGAGCTTGGAGACTGTGTGTTTGTGGTGACCGGTCCCGACTCGAGTCAGTTACGAGTATTATCCAGAGTCTGCAAAGAGTTAGTCCCTTTTCGTTTTCAGGCTCAGCAAACAAAAAGCAATCATGGTGAATAAAGTGTAATTCTGAAGTTCGTAAACGGACTTTCGGCATGGTTCTTGCTGGAGAGCTCCAGTAGCTCATTTGCAAGCAGGCAGGGGTGAGCAAACCGCAGTTATATCAGCGAGCGAAGCCAGAGAGGAGAGCAAGAGATAACCTGATCGACAAGCCTGGGCGAGACCAAAAAGGAGCATGCACTAGTCGTCAAGCGGGTGGTTGCCATCTCATGGACAACAAACGTCACTCATCTACCCAAAAACAAGTTAAACGACGGATCAGGGTTAGCTACGAAGCATCAGTCTACTTTTGACCACTATCTTCGACAAAATTTTGGAATTTGGGGCCCCTCATCTTAAAAATATGCCAAAACTAACGCAAAGACAGCGCAAATCGCCACAAAGCAGTCATAAATCATAACATATGCAACAAAAAAGTGAATGGAAACACATTTTGTGGTCTTACAAATGTATTCTGCCCTTTGAAGCCACACAAAAAAGTCGTGTGTGGACATCAGATGGTGACAACGCCCCAACAGCCGAGACGGCCAGGCACTCGTCGAAAATCAAAGTGTGAGACATTTTGAGCCACGGTGCGCTCCTTCAGCTTCACGTGATGCCCCAAAGACGACCGTTAACACAGATTGCTACTGCGGTAATATACAAGCATTACAAAAACTGGTTGTCGTGAACTGAATGGCCATAAACGGGTTTGTTCTAGAAACACAATATGTTGGAAGCCAAAGGTCACGCCATGCTCAGGCATGGAGGCTCTCCACTTCAGATGTCAAAAAAAAAAACAGCGCAACAGTGGTGTAAGCAGAAGTTTTGGTTTTGGGAGAGAATGCCTTATGGCCTAGGGACAGTTTGGATGCAAATTTAATCGAAAATATTTATAGTATCCACCGGCAAGAGGTCAATGAAAGCCGTCTTACAACCAGTTTCGGGAGACCCGTAAAACGACTGAGGCCAGCATCGTCTGGCATTTAGCTTCAACTGTCGGCTCATGATGTAGCTAGCGTGTCTATTGCATGTGCCATTTCAAAGCTACCCTTACTGGCTATATCGGACGATAAAAAGATAAAGTGCAATTATTTTTTTCCCTTATCTTATGCGCTGATTAACAGTGTTCGGTCAATTCTGGGACACGCTGCCTACCGTAGTTTCGTGCAACTTTGGCCACCAAGGGCAACTTTGGCCAGTCCTGAAAAACTGATTTGTTTTGCTGTAACGTTTATTTTTATACTTACCCCTAAGTGTAAAAAGTTACAGCAAAACAAATCAGTTTTTTCAGGAATGGACCGAAGTTGCCATTGGTGGTCAAAGTTGCACGAAACTACGGTAGCTGTAGATGGCTTTATGTGACGTTACGTGGCTACATATGACGCAGGGAGCAATTTATTCTATTGGAGAACATTCCAACCAGGCGATGATAGGTGTATTTGTGGAAGAGCATCCTCTTTTGTTGTGAAGACAAAGCATCCCGGCCGGTTTATAGAATTACCCCCGTCCGTCCCGCCTTTGACCGGGGTGTCGGTGTGAACCCCTGGTCGGTCACTGTGCCTCCCACCTCCTCGCCTTTGGCCGGGATGTCGGTGTGACCCCCTGGTCGGTCTCTGTGCGTCTCTCGACCTCCCCGCCTTTGGCCGGGGTGTCGGTCTGACCCCCTGGTCGGTCACTGTGCCCTCTGGCCGTGATGGGACGCCGGCAGGGAGCGCGGCGCGGCCGGCCGGCCACGTCCCGCTGACTCCCCACCAAACTCCCCCACCGAACTCCCCCACCTAACTCCCCACTAACTCCCGTGCTGTCGGCTTGTTACAGATAAACGGCGTGCGCTACTTCCGACCTCAGGCGTAACGGGCGCACACACCGTCCTCCGGACAGGACAGGACAGTCACTGGGCCGCGGTCTGTCCTGAGGACCCTGAGGACTGTCCCTGACCCGCAGTCAGGACAGGACAGGACAGGACAGGACAGGACTGTACAATCAGCCCGGCCCGTCACCACCGGTCCGGCGGCGACACTGGGCCTCTGAGGCGACTCCGGCGCGTCCCCACCACTGGCCCGGAGGGACGTCTGCGTCAGCTGACTGCGTCACCGGGACCGGGACGGGACGGGACGGGACGGGCGGCCACTCGGGGCCAGCCGCCGCGATCGAGCTTCAGCCGGCGGCCAGCGCAGCGGCGCCGCCCGGCGTTTCTGTAGCGAGCGAGTCAGCGCGGCGGTACGGTAGGTCTGTGATTATTGTGACCCGGCGGGTCTGTATAGGGGGCGCTGGGCGGCAGTATAGGGGGAGGGCCGGGAGCCAGTCTGTATAGGGGGCGCTGGGCGGCAGTATAGGGGGAGGGCCGGGAGCCAGTCTGTTTAGGGGTCACTGGGACGGCCGGTATAATTGGAGGTTGGTGGCCGACTGAATCAGTCTGGCGCCGAGTGACCTGCGTGAGCCGCCGGGTCGCCCCCCCCCTCCCCCTCCCCTCCTCTGTGGGGCGGCCGGCGCGGCGGCTACTGGTGCAAGGCAACCACCGAGCGCCCTGCACTGCGCGCCGGCCCGGCCCGGCCCGGACGGGGGGGTTTTATACGTGCGGCTCGTGCGGCCAGTCTCCCGTGGTATACCCCGCCTTAGATAGCGCGCCCGTAGCGCTGGTGCTGATTGCCACCACCCCCCCCCCCCTCCCCAATATATAATTCGGCGGCGCGCCGACTGTATACGAATGGTTCGCCTCGCGACTGTGGCGCCCCTAGCGGCCGGCGCCCGCACTAGCTCCATTGGCAGGCCTTACTCGATAGAGTGTTGTTATTAGCGAGTGTTGTGTGGGCTAGGGGGCGCGCGAGTCGCCCGTGATTTCATAAATACAACTGTATCCTGTGTATCCACACAGCTGCGTTTGGTCGGTCTGCGGACGAGACAGCTCGGTATATGTATACGGGTCTGCGGGAGAGCGAGGGTCACACCAGTCCTGGATGGGGTCCATGTGAGGGCGAGGGTCACACCAGTCCTGAATGGAGTCCATGTGAGGGCGGGGGCCGGGCCCTGGACGGGGTCCATGTGAGGGCGAGGGCCGGGCCCTGAATGGGGTCCATGTGAGGGCGGGGGCCGGGCCCTGAATGGGGTCCATGTGAGGGCGGGGGCCGGGCCCTGAATGGGGTCCATGTGAAGGCGGGGGCCGGGCCCTGGACAGAGTCCGGAGCTGACCGGGTCAACTTGGCAATGGGCTCCTGGAGCGGTGGACTTCGAGACGGGCTCCACAGTACGCTGACGCCGGAGTACCCGGGCGAGACGGGCTCCACAGCACGCTGACGCCGGAGTACCCGGGCGAGACGGGCTCCACAGTACGCTGACGCCGGAGTACCCGGGCGAGACGGGCTCCACAGCACGCTGACGCCGGAGTACCCGGGCGAGACGGGCTCCACAGCACGCTGACGCCGGAGTAGCCGGGCGGCCGGGGGCAAGACCCACAGACGTATGTACTATTGAGCGCAGAATCCGCGCTCATACCGGGACCGAAGCGGGACAGGTCTGGTGTATCAGAGAGTGTACCGATAGTGTGCTGCGGAACAGTATTCCATCCAGGCGGCTGCTGTCTGGTGAACTTGGGTCAGCCGCCACACGGAAGGCAGCCGCCCCGGCCTCCCTCCCCCCGAGTGGGGGAGGGAGGCCGGGGAAGGGGAGCGATTCATGCAGTCGCAGCCCGCCCGGAGTTAGTGCGGCAGTGTGTACTGTGTATATTGGGATTATTTCTCCAGCAAAGTTTTGGGTTTGCTTGAAGTCCACTGATCACGGTGGCTGTTTGCGGGGAGCGGGCCCGGGCGGTGTCAGCAGATAGCTGTTCGCCTACACAGGCAGGCCACAGACATGGTGAAACGGTGTATTACTGTAACATGGCCGACCAGCCGGGGAAAGACCCCTTTCTGTAGGAATGCGATTGAAGAGGCTTCTGTGTTTTAAGGTGTGCCGTTACGTAGTTTCGGATCGTCCTTAAATTCCTCGCCCTCTTTGCTCTCACCGCAACGTTTTATAGAAAAACTCCTGATGTTTTTGGCCTTGCTCCTTGCTCTTAACCTTGCTCTTCCAGACCATGAGCACACTTTTTATTTGCTATAAATGGAAGTTTGCCATGTTTCTCAAAAATGTTCATCTCACATAAAAAAAATCCGTTCCTATCAAATAAGTACCGGAAGCACAAATCTCACCAGAAGTCTGAGCCGAACTATAAGCGAAAATGCCACAACATCCCTATGGCCACCGCCATTCTGTCTGAACTAGACTTTTTGTTTCTCCAAACTATATGGTAACATAACGTCAATGTGGCATAACAATTCACATTTATTGGGCATGCGTCACGAATGCGTGCCCCTCGGTATTACCGCTATGAAAGTTGCCCGAATCGGCGCTTAAGAACTTTGCAATTTAAAAATTTAACCCTCGCCCGTGGACGGCATTTCGTCATCCTTTCCAGTGGAGGGGGGGGGGGGGGGGTACGACCCCTTCTGCCGTTTCGAAACGCGTCGTCGTAGAGCTTAGCGGAAAAACAGCGTATTGCTCTCGACGAGAGCTCGCGATTGTGCATATCACTTTTGACCATAGGTCAATATTTGACCTAGGTTTGGCAGGTTAAAGGTCAAAGCTCGGGAAAATCGGTATTTTTTAACTTTGCGCGCCTGTAGCGTCGCCGCTATGGCAGATATCGTCATAAAATTTTCACCATCGTATTTCTGGATGAATTTGGTGCATTTTGGTGTATAGTTTGTCACATTTTACGCGATAACTTCCGGGGCAGAGCGCCCGGTAGCCGGCGGGGTCGCGTTCGCGCCCCGGGTGGTCGAAAATGCCGTCTGACAGTTGGGATCGGAAATGTGATCTAACCTGTCGGCGACTTCTCCTTGATCCTGAGACGCTCAATAAACCAAGTGCCCGAGCTTTATTTGGCCGTCAGATTCGAATTCAGGGCCAAAAATTACCGCCGGAAAGCCAAACTTCAAGAGGTCACCAGAGGTCACTGACCTGAACTAGACCTGACCTTTACCCTACATAGGTCAATGGAGGGTGTGTCAGTGCCAGGTCAGTCACTTTTGACCCAAACAATGCCAAAGTGTAACCGATATCATCGTTAAAAGCACGAAAAACTACGATTTCGTTCAAAATCGGCCTGACCTTGTTACCTTGGTGACGTCATAGCTCTGTCACCTGACCTGACCCGGTCATTTTTTCGCCAAAAGTTGCGCAAAGGATGGTCTACCTAGTGCGCCTTTTTTCGCTATTCGTGAAAAAAACCTCAGGAGGGTGCGGCCCTTTCCACGGGCAACAATTAAAATAAATATCACATAGTGCACCAATCTTCCTTTTCATCTTTTGCAGAACCGTTTTAGGAATACTCAATGCAAAAGATGTCGAAGCCGGAACCGTAGTCGGTCGCAGTGAACAGTTTTATTAGTAGTCGGAGTCATTCAAAATTTGTCGAAGCCCTGGGTGCTGATAAAACTCTCGCTGTCAATGAATTAGAGTCGACTAATTCATAGTTAGAAGAAATGACTGCAATAGAGGAATGACTGCATGCTAGTAGCACCTACGTCTAAAAACGAAGCTTAACAGTTTTTCAAATAATAAAATAAGACATGCCAGGAGTGTCAGCTATATATTTATTCAAGTGAAGTCCTGGGGTTTGTCGGATAAAAGGTTGAGTAATGAAGTCTATTCTCACTGCACATAATCCAGCGATGCTATATACAAGTGCTGCTGATCATAGCACTCCTAGGTCGCACTAATAGTTGAGACGTTTCAAGCCCCCTGAATATCACATCACGAAAGAAAGAAAAAATCAGGCATCAGCCTCTTGTCACTGAGTCACATTTGTACTAATATACATCTTGCACACTAATCACATGTAGGTAACATAAGTCGAATTTATATACAAAACACTGTTCTTTAACATAAGATGACAAAAAAACAGAACGGTTTAGTAGGAGGTGTGGCCGCCCGCTGCCTCGGAGCACTGCTCCAGCCGCTGCCTCATCGAGGCCACCAGGCTCCGGAAGTAGCCGGGGCGGCGGCGGAGCTCCTCCCATTTCGCCAAGACGGCGGCCCAGAGCTCGTCCTGGTTGAGCTGCCGGGCCGGCTGGCGCAGCTCCTCCTCCAGCTCATGAACCATGAGAGACCACAAATTTTCGATAGGGTTCAGGTCTGGGCTCATTGAGGGCCAGGGAATGGCACGAACCTGCGAACGAAACCATGTTTGTTAATCACTGTAACGTGATATAGGTTGACACATCCATAGAGATCTTATATACATAAGATAAGATATGTATATAAGATCTCTATGGACACATCGGTCATGACTATGAATTGTAAGGCATCTTAAGAACTTTTTAAATAATTGTTTAAGTTATCTAAATAAGTTTATAACAGGCGGGGACGAGGCGACCAGGGGCAAAGCGGCCTCCCGCACATAGCCGTAGGCCTCGCCTCCTCTAATTGGGATGCATTGCTGTTGGGGTAAAAATGAATAAACGGATAAATAAATAAACAGCATCTCAAGCTTTTTTTAATAATGCCTAATTTAATTTAATTTAAATTTAATTTTAATTTAATTTTAATTTTAATTTTAATTTTTAAATATTTGTACAGCATTAGTTTTGGTAATTATCGAGGAAAAAAGGTCATGTTTTACATTTTCTACTATTTATAAACATGTTCCTCGTACAAGCACTAACCTAATTAAATAGTTTAACACGTTTAATCAATTAGACGTGCTGTTAAATCGACATATTATCATTATATGCTGGCCCGATTAGTCATTACGGCCCGATATTATCATTATGCTGGCCCGATTAGTCATCTGATACTACACGCTCGTCTTGACCTAGAAATGCAGAGACAACAGCGACAAATAATAAAAGAAAAGTACGAACCTCCACCATGCGCCTGTCTTCCTCCTCCGTCGTCTTCCGTTTCCTTCCACACTTATCATAGCGCGCTTTCAAACCCCTTTCCCCTTCCTGCTCATAACGGTGTTTCCACCGTCTGGCAGTAGTTAGAGCTACACCGAGAATCTCTGCCGCCTGCTTGACAGAGTGACCTTGAGCAAAAAGCAAGATGAGCCTGCCCTTGTCAAGATTACTGAGGTGTGTCATCACGCTCACGTTGACGTCTAGCCGCACACACTCCACGTGGGCTGCGGCCGCATACTGAATGGCTCTCCTTCCCCGGCTTTCCGCCCCACTCGGAACAGAAACAGCCAGGTCATGTCATTCCGTGGCCCTCAAAGGATACTGTGCCGCATCACACTAATCGGTACACTCTCTGACACACCAGGCCTGCCCCGCCGTGGCCCAGCCTCGGTCCCGGTATGAGCGCGGATTCTGCGCTCAATAGTACAGACTGCTGTATGTACATCTGTACTGCTGACGGAGTGCGGCTCTGCCGCCGACCGGCAGTGTGTGCCAGTCGGGGTCTGTCGACAGCGAATAGGTCTCAGTTGGCCGGCGAGCAGTTGTCCAACTCACAACAAGATATCAATTCTACGACATTTCTGCTGAAGCTATCACTATAGACAATTTTTGCCAGCATCAAATCGTGTGAGGTAGGGTCCCACGAGTTCGATGAAGACTCGACTATGTAGACTAGCTTGAAGAAGCTCGTCAAACTGATTGGTAGATATCGAAATGGAATGGAGAGAGGAACATCACAGGTCCGAGAGGCCCCAGTAAGTGGCAGACTAGCTGTACCCAAATTAGGCATCCGTGGGGACCTAATAAATCCGGACGCAGGGAGAGCCCTGCTGGGTCCCGCCCTATTCCGAGCTCCTCAGGGTGCGGGCGCCGCGGCAGGCCTCACGGGTCAGCCACAGCTGACCTCGGACAGCCGGCAGAGCCAGACGCC